TGTGCATCTGCCCCCAGCTCTGGTCCTTCCCCCATGGAATTTTTACCAGTGGTGGCAGCGTAGCTGTGGACGTGACCACAGGAGAGCTCACAAAGGCTGGAAACAAAAGCACCCTCTCACCTCTCCTTCCTGCATCCAGCCAATTCTGCTCCTTCAGGAGTCACCAGCTGCCCCGAGCACACCACAAGCTGCTCACAACAATTTCTGGGCCCTCTCTGAGTCTCTGGAAAGTACCTGCACTATCACTGGCTGTTTCTGCAAACAGATCTATACCAAGTCATGTGTCTTTCTTTACTTGACTTCAGGTCTTTCTGCCAACACAGCAAATTTGGGCTCCCATTGCATAGGTGAAGGCAACTGAAATTTGTCCACTCTGTCATAGCAGGAGTTCAGCTATTCCTCAGCAAAGCATAGCATGAGGAAAGGGAAAAATGTGCAGTGGCCCAAATGCAAGGATTCTGCAGAGCCTGCACGTGGGATGAGATGCTCCTGTGGGACACGACCCTGTGACAACTTTAGCAAATCTCTGTCACAATGTCACCCAGCTGATACCTGAGTGAAAATACTACTCCAGCACTGATTCACAACCATGAGGGGTACAGCACTCTGCTGACTGCTGCCAGCACTGCAGGTTTGGCCTGGGTCTGTCCCCTCCCAGCCCAAGGGACAGAAGCCTGCAGTGTCACTGGTGCCTGTTGGCAGTGATGAGCACGGGGTGCAGTGAGTTTCCACCTTTGTGCTGTGCTGCAGCATTGACCTTGGCCAGACTCCTGTCTGATCATTGCAGTCTGCTCACCAGCCCTGTTTGATACGTGTGGGAAGCACTGAGGGAAGCTGAAGTGACACATGCAGTGCTCCTGATGAAAGATCTCTTTGAACCCTGGAGCTCTGGCTGCCTGGAACTATGCCCTGCTCACCAAAATCCGTCCAGATACAGCACCCAAGAGATGATGTTTCCATGGCCCAAACACTCCCCTCCATTCCAACTACTTTCTAATACCCTCCCTGAAGTAATTTCTTACAGTTTTCCTCATTGGTTTCTAAAAATAGATTTTTTTTTTCTACATACCTAGCTGGGAGGTTTTGTTTGATTTTTTGGTTTTAACAACCTCCTCAAAACCCAGGACCATGTCTGAGAAATCAGGTTTCCAGCACAGATGCTGCAGAGAGCAGTGGTTTTCAGGGCTGTTCCTCTGTTATTAGTGAGAATTGGGAGGCTGGACTGTATCACATTGTGCTGAGAATACAAAGTGAGAAATGAAAGGAGAAAGAGCAGCTTGCGTGAGAGCCCTTTCATTCAAAAGGGAAGAGTGAGCCACGGTGAACACCTTCAGCACTGATGTGAAATCCTGAGGCCACCAATTAGCCTGGGCATGGGGAGAGGGAGGAGCAGAGCAGGCAGGACTTCAGTCCAGTGCACCAGCAGGTGCATTCCCAACAGCCCCCAAAGAAGAGGGCTCCTGGGTAAAACACAGCCTAATGACCATTATTTCCAAGAACACAAGTAACTTATCTGTAAACATCACTCCCCCAACCAGGCATTAGCTGAAAAAAAAGCAGCTTTGGGGAGAGATACTAATTACATAGCTCTCAACAGCTGGACTTTGATCATAATTACAGTGCCTTTTTCATCTTACATTAGTGGCTTTCAGCTGCAGCTAGGTGGGCACTTCTTGGAAGGTGGAAATCCCGCCTGTTTCAGATAATCTGCTCCTCTTATGACTCAGAGCTGACCTGGGTTTTCTGCAGCACAGGATGAGCTCCCACGGTACCATCCAAGGCAGTAATTCATGGGGTCAGTGGCCTGGCACTTCAGTGCAGGTGCTTCTGTCATTACAGCAGCACCTCCCAAGTCCCAGAGCCAGAGCACTGAGTGTGCATATTCCTGATTTCAACTATTTCCCTTTGCAAGGGAAGTAGAAGGAGAAAGACTTTGAGGTCTGCTGAATTTTAGCATCCCTCAGCTCTCTCTGTTTAAGAAGAAGAAAGATGGGCAGACTCAGGATACACCTGTCCAAACAACCTCACTTCAGTCACAACCTACATTTGCATCCTTCACTTCTGCAAAAGGATGTACATCCCCTTCTCAGCACCCACTGCTCCTTTGCCCCTCTGTCAGCTGGGCTGCAGCTCCAGCACTGATCTCCAGCACACAGCAATGAGTGAGGCTGTGAAGGAGGAGGCTGCTGCCCTGTGACCCAGCTGAGTTCCCTATGATTTTTGTGATGCTTTGCTTTGCTACCCACGTTTAGAAAGAATTTAATAGCCTCAATGAGGGAGCTGGGCTGTTGAGAACAGAGGCTGAAGTGGCTTAAACAACCCCACAAAGCACAGAGTCTGGCCACTCAGCTGTTTTTCCTCATCTAGGGCACTGAATTACTGTGTTCTATGGATATATAATTTCACAGTGGCATGTGAAATGGCAGGCATAAGGCACATGAGCCTCATAAAAGCACATTAACTAATGCTCCTCACTGTGCACTGCATTCACCTCTTGACAGAGGAAATGTTTTAGCTGGCTCCCACGTGTCCTCTTGCTGGACACCCCCAAACTGAAGAGGTAAGTAGATGAAGCAACAGCAGAGGGTAAATCAAAGCCACAAATCTTAGAGTTAACTGGGATTTATAACTTATTCCCCCTTCACACTGAACTACAGGGAAATCTGTGTGGCATGCATCCCTCCCAGCAGTTTAACAGGGTTTAAAACATTTTTCACTATTGGTTTTTTGCCAGCATACCTCAACGTTATCAGTTTGCAGGTTAGATAATTACTAGATATAATTTTACAGTTGCAAAGAAGCACACTGGTATTAGCTAAATAAAGTATTTTGGCCACATCAAAGCAGAAGTGTTTCAAACTGTGTAAAATAAATGCAATTCTGAAACTATTGAATGTTAAAGCAGTCAGAGAAATGTCACATAACATATTATGAATGTGCAACCAATGGAGCTTAAAGATGAAGACCATCTATGTCCCAGACTGAGGAAAGTATCTTTGGGATCAGCTTTGAGCTGATTTTGACCTGTGGCAGAGCACAGTCACTAACAATTGAACAAATGCCACTCTTGGCTCTTGTAAACAGACATGCATAACAGCTGAGACATGTTGTTACTCTAAGCTGTATCTCAGACAGGTTTTATGACTGAGGGGTGTCACAAATTGTTTGTCCTGAGGCTTCCCACACTGCAGTGGTCACTTAAAAACTCATCATGCTGCTCAGGCATGTGGTGAGGAGCAGCATTTCTACTGTAAGGCCTGACTTGCTGGGTGAGGCAGATTTGCAGGGGTTGAAAGGCTTATTAAAAAAGTTATACCGAATAAAGCAAATTGATTCTTTTCTCTTTAATATATGCTCCAGCTGAATTTTTTCCTGAGCCACAGCACCAATTTTCAGAACTTGTTATTTGGGATGAGGTGGGATACAAACTGGCAGGAGCTGACAGGCTGGAAAGCTGTCCTGGAGCTCAGGTACACTTCCCAGTGCATCTTCTTGCTTTCCAATGTCAGGGTTTTTCCCTTTTTTCCTTTTTCTTCATTTTCAGTTTTGGAATTTGCCTGGCTGGGCCTTCCAGCCATGGAGACATTACTGTGCTAAAGACTCCACAGCTGCCAGCCCAATCCCACCTTGCTGGGTGGGCACTGCTGTGGTGCTGCTTTCCTGTGAATCCCACACTTTCTGCTGGCACAGGCACATCCCTGCTGGGCTCAGCAGGGCTGGGTGGATTTGCAGGAGGTCAGAGACTGGCTGCATGTGCCTGGCCAGCCCTGGGCTGGTGTTGTGGAAGGTCTCCCTGGGGAATCCAATACCCCCGGCTTCATTCCACCTTCCTGTGCCCCAGCAGCACTGCCAAGGACCGTGAGCTATTTCCCAGCCTCTCCTTTCCCTCTGCTGGCCCCAGACACGGCCCCTCCTCGCTGCCAGGTCTCCACTCTCCTCCCCAGGACCTTCACACAGCAGAGGCACCAAACACCCGGGTTAGAGGGGGATAAAAGCCCCCACAAACCTTGTAACAAAGCACAACAGTGGGGAACAGCCCAGAGATCACCAAGCTGCCTGCAATGCCACGGGCTGGGTGATGGTGGCCGAGCCCTTTCTCCAACACAGAGCTGTGCAGCAGGGTAGCCTTCCCCAGCACGCTGTGGAGGATGCAGAGTTAATAGTTAACTCTTCCAGGGATTCATGCCTCCGTGAGACACCAGCCAGGGTTTTACAAAACACAGAGAGAAACCGGTCTTATAAAGGAGCTCAACAAGTGACTGTGCCCAGAGGATTTCACCTCTCCAAACTTTACGACTGGAAAAATACCATCTACATGTCATTTGCATGCTTAAATATAGTATCTTCTATTGGGAGAAACAAACAAACCGACAATGTGATACTGTGACACCTCGTGTGGACATGCTCTTTTATCTGCTGGAAAGTTATAAAACTCGGCGTAACAACAAAGCTAAAATAAGAGTGGTTGTCAGGCTCTGACGCTGGCTGTTAGACAGAAGGAAAAAATATTCCTGGAAAATTTGCTCTCTCTTAGAAGGCAGTTTTTTTCTTCTCTGAATCTTTTAAATTAATTATTTATCCTTTAAATTCCAAAATCTCGGGGCTCAGTAGTTCAGCTCGTGTTATTCCCAGGAGTATTTTCACTTAAAGAAACAAACAAAAACACAACAGAAACCTAAAGCCATTCCTGTACTACCCAAAGCACAGTGTAACCTCTGCTCCAAAACACCAGGGGAAGATACTATCAGCCTTCGTGTTATTTATCATATTTTTTTTTCCCCTCTAATGCCAAAGAGGAAAAGGGGATATCTTAAACGGATGCCTATAATTAAACAGTAACCTGTTAGAAAGCCAAAAATAATAATAAGCTCCACTGAGCATGAAGAGAGCGGCACATTTTTTCCGCGTGCAGCCCAGCTGCCGGCGGCCGATAGCAGGAAAGTTAACGATTATCAGGAGGCTGCGATCAAAGCTGCGATAAGCGGGGTTACGTCACTCACCGCGGGATGCAGGGATCGGGGTAGTACGGCAAGGTGCTGAAAGGTGCTGCTTCAAAATTCATTTCCTTCCAGCCCCTCCCTGGGGACAAACTGAAATAAAATAAATAAATAGATATAAAGCCGGCAGGCTAAAAGCAATAAGGTCAAGTGGTACACGAGGTACAACTTTAGAGATTTATTTTACACTTGCGGATGGGTGGGATCTGCCAGGGGCTTGGCCAATGGGATTCGTCCAGTTACCCGAGCATCACCACCACTCCCTCCTCGCCAGCTGGGCATCTTCTGCACAGATATTTTCCCCTCCTCTCCACATCCTTAATAAACTTTGGTGTACGCTGGCCACACTTGTTGTTGGGAGCTCATCTGGGGCTTCTCTGAACTTCTGATCTCGCCGGTCATTGGTTGCCTTCCCGCCTGACTTCACAGTTTAATTTTGGCAGCTCTTGCAATTTTACAAACTGCTGTGGCCGCTGGTCATCCTTGTCTCCAGATGGCCAGAGTTTCCTCTGCTGGGTGCAGTGCCTGTGCTGAATTTCATCCTCCTTTGAAAGCTTCCCTTGTCAGCTCTGGGGTTAGTACCTGCTTATAGCTGCCTGGGGAAATTTTCAGTCTCCCTCCCACCATACACAGTTCACACAGTCTGTTGTGGTCACAGTTTCAAAACGGAATGACAAAATACGGGGAAATTCCTCAATCAAAAATAACTTTTTTTTAAACTTTTGCCTCTCTGCCTCCCCTTCCTGCCCTCCTCCCTGCAAGAAAGCTATCAGATATATTTGTTAATCTTTCCCTTTATAGCTTTTCATTTTTCCCCAAAAAAGTGAGATGATACAGAAATCTTGCATTGTTCTGGTGTCCTCTAAATAACATATACATTTTCCACATTAAAAAACCCCCAATATTTTCAATGGTTTTGAGGAGAAAGTAAAAGTAAGAAAATAGAAATCACATCTTTGTCAGACATTAAAGCTTAAAGAAACAAGAGTGAAATCCTCCAAAACAAACTACCAAAAATGAAAAGCTGATCTGATTTTCCTGAAGAAGCACAAAAGCAAGAAAGGATGGCTTTAATTCTCTCCCCACCACTTCTTTTTCCTTTTTTTTCTTCTCTCTTTTGACTCAGACAGAAAATCATTCAGGAAAGCAACCTGTTTTGTCCCCCTGTTTTTTTCCCCCTCCATGATTTATCCAAATAGTACAGGCTGTAAACCTATCCTGGTTTTGTGGATTTGGAGAATGAATGAAATATGAATCAGGAGCTAAATTAAAATGGATTCCAGCAGGAAAAAAATAGCACCCACATATCTGTGCACCAGAGAGATTGCATCTTCAAGCTGACCCATACGTTTGTGTGGACAAGGAAAAGCGTAAGGGACTGCCCTATATCTCACCTATAGTGAATATTTTGTGCCAGTCAGCACTAATTCCAGCCACCCCTGGGGCAGAAAGCCTCTGAGATGGCAGCAATTGCCTCTTATTTTTCCCCTCTGTGTTTTCCTTGTAGGAAATGTTGGTTCGAAGAATGTCACGTGGAAACATTTTCTTTGCTGCCTGTGCCAGGGTGGCAGGAGAGCTATTTCAGACTTGACATTCTCCACCCACACTCAGCCTGATAGCTTCTAACATCTGTGAATTGTGAATCCTGTAAACTCGCAGGGCTGATCCCCAGCCAAGTCCAAGCAGCTTTCACTAAGTGGCACTCACCAAGGAAGAGAGGCTGGAAGTGAGGGATATGTTTATTAACTGGAGTTAAGGGCTCCCTGCTGCTGGACACTGCTTCCCCTGCCTGGTCCATGGAAAAACAGAAATATCAAACACCTTTTCTCTCTTAGGCTGAACCCTGGAATAAACAGCAAACCTTTTCGCTTCTGTTATTGGGGAAGAGGTATGGGAAACTCCAAATCTGCTGGGGAGAAGAGAGAAAGATTCACAGCAGGGTTTGCACACACACAAAGCAGCCCAGGGAGAGCTTTAGAGTGGCTGCATCCTCTTCTGCTGTTGAAATCAGGGCTGTGGGCAAATACCTCCTGGAAATGGGCAAGGAGGGCCACAACAACTCATGGTCCACACTGCCAGCTTGGCTCTGGTCTAGGCCTTGAGCATTCACCGTGAGCCACAGACACAGCAGAAAGTGCCCTCCCTGCCCAGCCCATTTGAGCAAGAGCTTGGGTTCGTGCTCTCGTACTCCAGGACATGCTTTCAACCTGCACCCATGGATAACCAACCAAGCACACAGGCAGCAGGCTGGGCTCTGGACCCACTGCTGAGACCTCGTGCTTGCTCCTGGAGAAACCCCAGAAGCTGCTTGGATTTTGTCTACCCTGCCCATGGTGGGATTAGCTGTTACCTCCTCAAGCCTGACTTCATGGAAGAGTGGTCATGCATTGTGTGCTCTCCAAACAGCCTGGAAAAGTTGGTCTCTCCTCATAGGTTTCAACCTGAAAGACAAAAGAAATGTCATGAGAAAAGTGCTGTTCATGTGAAATCCTGTTCTACTTCTTCATGGGAGCTGGAGAAGAGTCTTTCCCAGAATGACCTGGGTGCAATGGCCAATGCTCTGGGAGCAGGGAATAACTCCCAGCTGGAGACAGACCCTCTTCTGATTTTGGCCAGTCTCCTCACCCAGCACGTGCCCAGATCACACATCCCAAGGGCTTTGTGAAGTAAAACTGGCAGCTCCTGACATTGCTGCTGCGGGCTGGCCCCTGTTTGAGGGTGGAGCTGCCCTCTGGTTTTACAGTGCCTTAGCTCTGCACAGCCTTGGTACCCCAGGCACAGTGAATACAAGTCTGTTACAGCCCAAACCCCCAATCCTGTGGTTCCTGTTTGCAGTGCTGAACACATCTTACAGTGCTGCAGTTAAGAAGTGGCAGTCTCCAGCTAGCAATTCACAGCAAAAGAATAACTTCTCCTGCAAAGCAAAAATTAATTTAAAAAAGCAGCACCACATAACTCTGATGAGAAATAGTGGCTTGTAGCAGGGCTCTCTTCTCACTCACAAGGCACTGATGAGAGATGTTTCTAGCAAGGACATTTCCACAAGAACTTCAAAAGGGGCTGCCTAAGATCTGTACCACCCCTCATGCCTGGAGCTGGGTAAATGCAAATTGCTCATGATTTGGTTTTCTTTGGCAGTGCACACAGTAGCTGCCTGCTTTTCCCAGAGAACTGGACATTTTCAGCCTCCCACAGAGATCTGGACATGTTCTGAGGTGGCTCAGAATATCTGTCTTTTGCTTTACCCAGCTGGAAAACAGAGCCATGGAAACTCAGAGGCAGTAGTGTACAAAATCCCCCTGCAAAAACCAGCAAGTGTCCTGATTTCTCTCCTGCAACCCAAACAGCCTTCCTGCTTACAGCCAACACATAGCTATGGTTTATTGACCAGGAATTTGGGCAGGGATATTCACCAGTGCAGTGAGGTTGCATGCAGCTCCTCTCGGCTGCAAGGCACGCTGCATAGCACAGTCAGCAGTGGAAACACAAGCACAGGGTGTGTGCCTGTGGGAATTGCCAGTGCCCCGTGCATAGCTGGGAGGCTCTCGGGGTCCCTGGTATTTGGCCAAGTTCATTTGCATTGCCTTAAAGGAAACCTACTGGGAGATGGAGCCTGAGACGTTTGAGAGTTGGGATTTCGGGAGGGAGGGTGGTACATGAGGACTAGTAAATTTAATTTAGGAAGAAGTTATTTAGGGAGAAATTCTTTACTTTAAGAAGAAATTCTCTGCTGTGTGGGTGGCGAGGCGGTGGAACAGGTTGCCCAGAGAAGCTGTGGATGCCCATGCCTGCAAGCGCCGAAGGCCAGGCAGGATGGAGCTCTGAGCCGCCTGTTCTAGTGGAAGGTGTCCCTGCCCCGCGCAAGGGGCTGGGATGATCTTTGAGCTCCCTTCCAAGCCAAGCCAAGCCGCGGCTCTGTGAGCCGGGGGGCAGAGACAAGGGCGAGCTCCTTTCCGTGGCGAAGGGGCTGTGGTGGCGCGCTCGGCGCGGCCGGTGGCGGTGCGGGCTGCAGGCACGCGTCCCGCAGGAAGCGGGGCTGCCGGGGATCTGTCTGGACAGCGGATTTACAGCCAGCCCGAGGGGCAAGCAGCGCACCAAGCATGTGTGTAGGTGGGCAGGAATGCGGTGCTTCGCTCCGCTCCGCCGCTTCCACGTCTGCGGCAGACGGAGAGCCAGGAAACAGCTGTGGGACGCTCTCCCGTTACCCCTCCGTGCACCGCTCCCGCCTTAGGCTCCGCTGAAATGACCGGGAGATTATCCTGTGGAGAGGCAAACATTTATATCCCCGGGAGGAGACTGCTGCGGGGGATTTACCATGGTCCCCGCACCGCCACCAAGGTCAGGATGCCTGTGAGCAGCCCCGCTCCCGAAAAGGGCACAGGGAGAGGCAGTTCCCTGACATCCCTGCGCCTCCAGCCCTGTTCCGTGGCTCCGGGGAACCTCTGAACCACTTGGAGCTGAAGAAGACAGGAAGATGCTTTGCTCTTGAGCCACCTTTGCAACTGCTGGCTCCAGGATTTGCCTGAAATCAGACCCACCCTTTATGCCAGGGGATGAAACGATTCATTCACAGCTTGGGGTTTCCAGGGGAGTGGTTGTGGTCCTTTTGTTTGTTTGGATTTTTTAATTTTTTTTTTTTTTTTTTTTTTTTTGGTTAAGTTAAAATTTATTTCTTTTAAGAGCAAGAAGTCTGTGGGATATTTGGGGATTTTTTTTTTTTTTGTAAGGAAAAGATGAAGAGAGGAAATAATTCCCTCCTACCATCAAGAAAATGTTTTTAGCTTGGCTATCCAAGGGAACAGAAAGCCACATCAGCGTGCCTTTTGAGAACATTTTTTAATTTTAACTAAATATTAGGGATGTTTAAAGGTTTCAAAGGAATTAAGGCTTTAGGAGTTTCATGAACAGAAGTAAGCAAAGACAACTATTCAGTAACTCCAGTGAAGGGAAAGAGGAAACAGGAGTATGGCCCTCACAGGATCTGGAGGATCTACCCAAATGCTGTGATGGTAGGGGAAAAGCTTCCTTAAGAATTCAGATTTTGCCTCAGGCTAATTTCTGATCC